ATGAGGGGCTTATATACGGAACGTGGCAATTAATTTGAGCCGTTAGATCAAATGATCTCAATGACCTGGATTAATTGGTGAGGGACAGGACGGGGTCGTTTGGTGTAGAAACGAGGTCGTTTGGTTTTTAATGCGGGGCTGGGTCGAACCGGGTAAGCAGGTCGGTTACGGGCGCGATCGTGGACCGTTGGATGAGTATGGATGAATGGCTCAGATCACACGCCCTATGCGGCGTCGTTTGGGGCATCCCTGGAACCCTGGTTTGGACTGGGTCGTTGCAAATTGGTTTGGGCCTGATTTTTTAGTTAAATTTTGGCCCAAATCCAGTCTTTCCTTCTTATAATTAAACCAAAAATTCCTAAAACCCAAAATTAAACTACACAAATATTAATTAACACCTAACAACAATTATCCAACGAATTAAAATATTTAATAATTACCCTAACAATAGATAGAATAGAAATGCATATTTTTTGTGATTTTTGCTTTTTTTTTAAAAAAAACAAATAAGGGTTAATTAATTCCTAAATGTGCCATTTTCCTAAATGCATGCAACATGTATTTTTGTATTTTTCTAACTATAGCAAAGCGAGCATTTACGGACAAAACAATTATTAAAATGTCACACAAATCCTCAAAATTGTACCCGAAGGTAACTTGTTTTATTTCTTTTCCGATTTCTTTTGGAGTAGTTTCCGTGAAGCAAAAATCACGTGCTCACAATATCCACATGAACACCATAAAGATAATGACGCCATATTTTCAAAGCAAATATAACGGCTTCTAACTCAATGTCATGAGTCGGATAATTGTGTTCGTGCTTCTGCAACTGCCTCGAAGCATATGCAATAACTTTGCCATGATGCATTAGAACACATCCCAATCCAACCCTAGATGCATCACAATATACCACACAACCTTCAGATCCCTCAGGAAGTGCTAGAACAGGTGTTGGTGTTAAACGTTTCTTCAACTCATGAAAACTCCTTTCACATGCATCAGACCATTGGAACTTAACGACTTTGTGTGTCAATTTTGTCATGGGAGCAGCAATAGAAGAGAAGTTCTCCACAAATCTCCGATAATAACCAGCTAAGCCCAAGAAACTACGCCGTAGGAGTTGTAGGTCTAGGCCAATTTTGTACTGCTTGAATTTTCTGACCATCTACCTTAATACCTTCATCGGAAACGATATGCCCAAGGAAAGCCATTGAATTCAACCAAAATTCACATTTAGAGAATTTAGCATATAATTTCTGATTTTTCAAAGTCTGCAACACCACACGCAAATGATCCTCATGTTCTGCTTCTGATCGGGAATATACCAGAATATCGTCAATGAAAACTATTACAAATATATCTAGAAATGGCTTGAAAACCTGATTCATTAAATCCATGAAAGCTGCTGGCGCATTAGTAAGACCGAAAGACATCACAAGGAATNTGCTTCAATTTTCTGACCATCTACCTTAATACCTTCATCGGAAACGATATGCCCAAGGAAAGCCACTGAATTCAACCAAAATTCACATTTAGAGAATTTAGCATATAATTTCTGATTTTTCAAAGTCTGCAACACCACACGCAAATGATCCTCATGTTCTGCTTCTGATCGGGAATATACCAGAATATCGTCAATGAAAACTATTACAAATATATCTAGAAATGGCTTGAAAACCTGATTCATTAAATCCATGAAAGCTGCTGGCGCATTAGTAAGACCGAAAGACATCACAAGGAATTCATAATGGCCATATCTAGTCCGGAAAGCCGTTTTCAGAATATCTCTCTCTTTAACTCGCAACTGGTGATAGCCGGATCGAAGGTCAATCTTTGAGAAATACTTGGCACCTTGAAACTGATCAAACAAATCATCAATTTTGGGTAAGGGGTACTTGTTCTTGATAGTCACTTTGTTGAGCTGGCGATAGTCAATACACGTTCTTAACGAACCGTCCTTCTTACGAACAAACAACACTGGTGCACCCCAGGGAGAAATACTGGGCCTGATAAAGCCCTTATTCAGAAGATCCTTCAACTGGGCTTTCAATTCTTTTAACTCAGCAGGAGCCATTCTGTATGGAGGAATAGATATTGGCTGAGTATCTGGAAGCACATCAATAGCAAAGTCGATTTCTCTTTAGAGAGGAAGACCAGGAAGTTCATCAGGAAATACATCGAAAAATTCATTCACGACGGGAACCGATTGAAGGGTTGGAGATTTCACCTCCATATCATGCACTCGTACCAAATGATAGATGTACCCCTTCAAAATCATCTTTCGAACTTTAAGGTAAGAAATAAACTTTCCCTTAGGCGCTGCAGTATCACCTTTCCATTCAATAATAGGCTCACTTGGAAAATTAAAACGAACAATCTTTGTCCAGCAATCTACATTGGCATAACAAGAAGCCAGCCAATCCATACCCATAATGATATCAAAATCAACCATTTCTAGCTCATGCAAATCAGCTAACGTATGGCGGTCATGAATTTTCACATTGCAACTTCGATATACCCGTCTAACTACAACAGACTCACCCATTGGCGTAGATACCTCAAATGACTTATGCAACAATTCAGGCTCTCTATCCCATTTACTAGCAACGAAGGGGGAGATATACGACAATGTAGAACCAGGATCTATCAAGGCATACATATCAATAGAAAAGACGGATAGTATACCTGTAACCACGTTCGGAGATGACTCTAAATCCTGACGACTCGATAAAGCATATATGCGATTTTCCTGACCTCCTGAACTAGAAGTTCCAACTCTTCCCCTACCCCTGCCAGCTGATGTCTGCATACTCTGCCAAGGAGGAGGTACCGAAGAAGAAGAAGCCCCTGCAGATGCCGTCGGCTGAGCTATACCCCCTCCGCCTGTCATCGAACAATGTCTCATAATATGACCTGGCTGTCCACATGCATAACATGCATCAGAACCCTGGCGACATGGTCCAAAATGATTTCGGCCACATCAATCACATCTGGGAAACTGAGGCCTCATCTGACTGTACTCGCCTCTAAACTGTGGACCTGGGGTCCTTGAACGCTGACCTGGACCAGAATAAGTGGTTTGATCATGTCGCTGTCCCTGAAACTGTGGTGGTGCACTGGCTACCGGATAAGATGGACGCCTAGGAAACTGTGGCCTAAATCCACCTCGAAACTCTCCTGTGTTACCTGTGAACCGCGCCCTCTTCTGCTGGCCTCTATCATGCTCTCGATTGGCTCGTTGTTGCCTCTTGCGATCCTCTAGACCCTGTGCATATGCTTGAATACGGGCANCCGGATAAGATTGACGCCGGGGAAACTGTGGCCTAAATCCACCTCGAAACTCCCCTATGTTACCTGCGAACCGCGCCCTCTTCTGCTGCCCTCTATCATGCTCTCGATTGGCTCGTTGTTGCCTCTTGCGATCCTCTAGACCCTGTGCATATGCTTGAATACGGGCAATATCCATTCCTTGGTTTAGAGAAGCTGTAGTGCACTCATTTATCAAGTGTGCCCCCAAACCACTAATAAACTGGGGTACCCGATCACTCATATCAGCAACAATTGTAGGAGCATACCTAGCCAAAGAGTTGAACTGCATGCTCTATTCCCGAACGCTCATATTACCCTGTTATAAGTGTAAGAACCTATCTCGTCGGGCTCTTCGAAGCTCAATTGGCAAATATTGCTGTAGAAATGCCTCAGAGAACTCCTTCTATGTCACTGGCGGCACATTAGGCCCTCGAGTCTGCTTCCAAGTTTCATACCATGTCACAACAATATCACGTAGTCTATAATAAGTAAACTCCACTGACTCAACATCTGTGGCATGTATAATTTGTAAGGTACGTTGCATAAGATCTAGAAAATCCTATGGGTCAGCATTAGGATCAACCCCTGTAAATACTGGAGGATCCAAATTGATAAAGTCTCGAACTCTCACACTCACGGACCTATCAGCAATACCGAGGGTTTGGTGTTGGGCTTGGGAGTCTACTATTCGAGTCAGCAATTGTACAGCACTCCACATGTCTAGGTCCTGATCAGGGACAGCTGGGAGAGGGACTGGAGGTGCATTAGCTCCTCTACGCCCTTCCGGGGGTGGTGAGGGTGCTGCCCCGGAAGCCTGAGAATCAGCCTCATTCTGTGGCTCATGTTGATCTACATTAGTAGGTGGGACCTGACTTGTGCCCTTTCCCGCCTCCTCATCCAACCTCTGAATAAATTTCATAGCCACTTGTCGTCCAGTAGTATTAGGCATCACTGAGAAGGTAAACAAAAGGAGAATTAGGAATGAACACTTACGATTAGGCACTATTGCACGATCTAGATCAAGAAGAAAGTAATAATCCTAAATGCCCAATAGCCTCATATTTATAAGTGTGGTGTACAACACACCATAAACAAGACTCTACTAGACACGTCTTGCAGACTCCCTAGGACTGACCTGCTCTGATACCAAGTTTGTCACACCCCAATCTTGGGAGGTGTGGCTAGCACCCGATGCCCGAAGGCCCGAGCGAACCAACCATGAGATATGGTCTGAAATATAATAACCTGCAGGCATAAGAGCCCAAAACGACACACACACATATATATATGTATATAACTTAGGCCAACAAGGCTGCAACAACAGTATGACACCTATCCAGAAGGCCGATAGGGCCATACAAAAAAAAATATACAATGCAATGACCGCTAGTCTGCAAGCCTCTAAGAGTGTAAGACAATCTCAACAGGCCGGGACAAGGCCCCCGACATGCCCAAAACTACTCATATACATCTGTAATAGTACCTATGGACTNGGGACAAAGCCCCCGACATGCCCAAAACCACACATATACATCTGTAATAGTACCTATGGACTCAAAGTCAGCAACTCCGAAGAAGTGGAGTGCGAAACCCAACGCTGATCCTGGGGGTCCTACTGAGGAGGCACGCCGCTTTGTCTATCCGAACCTGTGGGCATGAACACAATGCATAAAAAGGCGTCATTACGAAAAATATACTGAATATGTAGGGCGACAAGTGTAACATGAAAAATGTAATTATTAAGAGAAGAGATATAGAGACAATTTGAATTCTAAAACTAGCCTCGATAGGAAACTAAAATTCAACATGGATATAAATGTATGCTCGTGGAATTGTCGCTCACTATCGCTCCTTATAATATATTACATTATATAATAATAAATCCCTCTGTGGGGCTACAATATCCATAACATACCCGGCCATAATAAAGGCTCGGTA